CGTGTTATTAGATGTGATATTTTGAGGGCAGGTTTACTTACTATTGAACTATTTATTTAATTATTAGTTTAGTAATATTTCCTTAATGCCTTACAAAAGCATAGCTCTCTGTTAACACCTAAGGGTCTATAGATTTTCCAAACTTGTGTCATACACATGGCCTGCTACTGTTACTACATGACACAACATCGGGCAAACCCTACTGAGAACTGCATAAGAGCCCCACTGTACTGCAGCAGCAAGTCTGCTATCAGTGGTACTGATGAAGCAGAAGACAAAATGGACCTGTGCAATGCGAGTCCTGTTTGTGAAAAAAAAATTGTGAAAAAACTACATTTAAAATATGTGAAAGCACACATTGCTTCTACATTAACACACACAGCACTAATGGACAGGGAGCACACAGGTCGTCAAAAGCATTAAAATGAAGACATTTCCTTTCTTATTATATCAGTCTTACTTGGTGTTTGAAACATCCAGCTACAGAATATTTGAACCTGCAGGTTTGTCACATTTGTCACATTGCAGTACTGCTTACATTATAAAATACTAAATTCCACATGAGAATTCCACAGAGAGCATCATCTGATAAAAATATCCTTCTTTTGCTACATATAACTATGAGTATTTTAAAATAAATTAGAAGTCAGTTAACCTAATTTATAAAATGCTTCTCAATGGGCTGCAAGAACAATTGCAGTGAAATTGGAAAATCATTTTTAAAGGTGCAATATTGATGCAAGCAGCACAAAAACACGAACAAATAATGAGTCACAGTTGACTGTAAGCCAAGTTAAAGAAATTAATCTTAATACTGTGAAAAAGGGTTGAGTCCAAGAGTTTCATTATAATCAAGAAAATCCTGCAGGACTCCTGCAAAGAAAAAAAGAAAGACGCAAGATTTTGAAGTCAAACTCTTTTTCTACATAAAAATTCCTACAAATATCCTACAGAACACCTTTAAGAATCCAGGGAAAGATCTTTTTGGACCTCTGTCCTAAGAAAAATAAAAGTTTGGTGAATGGGTCTTGCAGGATAATTGCAAAAAAAACATAAGATTTTGCCACAAAAAGTCCTGTTGGATTTCAGAATGTGTGCCACAGTATTTTTTTTGTGGGAAATCTGCATGACGCTTTTGTGCTGGGTAGACACAATACTCGTGTCTCTCTACAAGACACCATTTAGTCTTTGGATGTTGCCTTGGTGTGTAAGCAAACAGGTTGATCTGAATCTGACAATCCCTCAGTACAGGCTGAATTTCTGCTGCTCCCGTTACTAGATAAGAAAAGACTACATCAAGCGAACACTATCTTTAATGCTTAGCGAAAGAGAGAAAATTTATTTGGGTTTTCACAGCTGCAGAATACTATTTTCTTAATACATATCTAGAAAAACTGGCATCAAGTGAGCTACTAGTTGTACAAATAAAAAGCCAAGATTAAACCACTGAATGATAGCCGAATGATACCTGAATTTTGTAAAAGGTTTGTTTGGTGTGTTATTTGATTTGAATACTCTGGTTAGCAAATGTAGCTGCCCTTTCTGCACCAAACCACTGCAAAATGCCTGAACAGGGGTCCTGATCTTTATATTTATATTAAAACATTATAAATTATGAATATCCTGGGTTATTTATGACCATACAGTAACTTTACAGTAATTTATGTGCATTTATAGCAAATTAATTATTTAAACAAAGTGTTTCTCAATATACAGTATACATATTAATTCTACTCTGTTCCCACACACAGAAGCCCTCAGCTCTCCTTTCCTGCCCTTAAGAATAAATCCCTTTGACGGTAAGAGACACCCTGCACCCCAAACTTCATATTATAAAATCAACATCTGTGGCCAGTCTTCAATGCAAGAATCTTTCTGAGACCGAAGACTATCAATCTGCAGAAAGCAGATAACTTAAATACTGTGAGAGAATGATCTGATAAAGGATATTAGGTCAATGAATTTATCAAGTTTTAGAACTGTCAAAATATCCAGCGTAATTCTGGGCGCAGGAAAGTTTGGAGATCTGAAGATGACAAAAAATGATTTAAAACCCTTTACATGTATTCACAGGGCAAGGCCTGCGGGGTGTTAATGCTGTTCCCTTCATAATCTAGTTTTTGATTTTGTCTAGTGGATGTGAACTGATTTTCTTTCCTTATTTTGCTGTGAAGGACTGACAGATGGATGCATTAAAAAAATGAAAAAAATCCAAGAAAAATGATCTGTGCTTGGAGAATATGGATTCTATTTCTATTTTTGAACTGAATTCTGCATTTTAAAAAAATCATGTTGGGAAGAAATTGAGCTGTAAAGGTTTAACATAAAAGAATACTTCCACCTGCTCTGAAGCAATTATAACTATGTGTTGTGGAATTAATGTTTAGTTGAATCCATTTTCATACATTCAAGTCTCACCATCACAGTTCACACATATTTAATCCTTTCGCTTTATGCCCTGCAATCAGACTGTTTATTCAGAAGTTAAGTTATGGATTAGGTGCTAGGGTTTAAAATTAACACCTGTTAAACTATAGAAATTTTCTATTTAAGGCATGCGTATATATAGTATGTACTGTACAGTATGTTTTAGCTAATACATTAAAAAGATATTTATTACATCTAAGACTAGATCAACAATTTATTTTTTAACATGTAATCATAGCCATAGGTTGTATCTAGTGTCCTTTCTCAATATTGTAATTTGTATTGTACTGTCACAATAGTTCCATGTCATAGCAGTGTGAGTGTGAACCACGATCCCAGTGGATATATATACATACAGATATTGTAAGAACGTTAAGACTTTTTTTGTGGTCCAGCAATGTTGTACTGTCTATTGTACTGTTTCAGACACTGCCACTCATCTGTGAGCAACATGATGGGCCCTTTCTTTATATACATACTGACTTACTGTTCGCAAAAATACTGCTTCTCCCCATTAAAATTAAACCATTAAAATTCTGTCAGAAATAAAATGACACATTGCTTTCCAAGTATAGATTTCAAATTCCTATATTTATAATTATTTTAGTACGATTCTACATACCTTTCTGTAAACAAAATTTTGCATTTAAACATATCCATAGCTCAAATTGAAGGTCTGTATGAATTTCAAAGGACTCTGTAGCTATTTCAATCTTTCTTGTCTCAAATATTAAGCTTTTGCAATTGCAGCTGGGAACCTAGCTTTTCACAGCATGGTGACAGAGGCTCTCTCACTTGAAAAATGAAAATAATCATGTCAGGCATTTTTTAGTGATGGAACTTATCATAGCAGTATGAATCAGAATATTGCTCCCTGGTTTTCAAATTTCAGGAAGCATGTAAAACAGCAGAATTACGCATATTAAAATTAAACTAAATAAAATCAAACAAAGTAAAATGTAACATCCACATGCAATTACCTGTCCTGGTTTATTTTTTGTACTTTCATTTTAATTGCTTGTTCATATTTTACCTCATTTTACACTGTGACGCACAAAAAATATAAAGCTGAAAGTGTAGAATGATTTTTTTTAGATGAAGGCAGTGGGTAAGTATCTTATCTACAAATACAATTGCTGATAATAAATCCCATTAGAATACAGTTAATTTGTAGAAAATGTTTTTATGTAATAAGCAATCTGTTATTGCACATTTAAAGTAAATGCCAAAAATATACTTTAAACTTTAGTGCCGTTAAATATTAAACTCAAACTAGTATAATATGTCATGTTTATTTACTGTATAGTACCTTATAAAATTTCACATCAATATTGTATAATTTCAGGAAATGTTGTCATAGTTCATTCACTCACAAAATCCGTTTTAATACATGCTTGCAATTTTTATTGTAGAGCTAAGTGCATGAAAATAAACCTCTTTTTCCTCAAGACCCTTAAGGAACGGAAAGGAAAAAAAACTGACCGAGCTACCAGCTTTTGCATTGTTTTACAAGGAAACTATTAACAAAGCAAGACTTCAAATGAATTTCCCCCAGAAGACATTTAGGGTTATAATTCTATGGCGGATCATATGGCATAAGGCAGCCCAGAACATAAAAGTGATCCAAAAAGTAGGCCCGTAGGTTGCAAACCATTTTACAATATTACCAATATAACATCATGAGGCATGCATGTGTTTCAGCTAATAAGTAAATATTTTCTGATTTTTCTGTTGCCTTCTCAAATGTTTTTTGTGTCATCAGAGGCCTATCATTTGTTCATTTTTACATGTGTTCTTTTAAATAATTACGGCCATTACTGATGTCAAGAATGTCTTCTGAAATGTAAGGAATAATGAGTTTTTTGACTCAGCAAAAAGAGTATTCTTTGCAACTACAGGAACATTTTGTAAATATGAGCTCTAAAGAAAAAGTTATATTCAGGAAGCCAAGCAGCATTATAGGCTGTTTTGTCAGTTTTTCAAGGTAGTTTCGTCAAACTGAACATTGTTTTATGAAAACTATTTCATAAGATGCTTTCGAGTTCTTCACAAAGGCCCCGATTGCACTGTTTTGCAAGATAACTATTAAAGTTCTTCCCTGCAGCAGGTCTAAACCAAAATGCCTCTTTACCCCACTGAATAGGAAACTAGCTTTTTAATCCTTTTCATTTTTGAGTATTTGAATCTTAAGCAGATGGCTCACGCTGGATTTCTCTGTGAATATAGGGAGAGTTTTCCACAACTTGTTTCAACCACTAACTCTCTTCTGGGGGTCTGAGCTGCTAAGCTGCTAGCCTTTAATGTGATGTTTTATTCTGAATAGCTGCGACTTCCCTAATGAAATCAGGCAAAGAACAATTTGTTTTTAGGTTCTGTGTCGAACAGTACGAAAACCTGCACTGGAACGTACGTGGCTGCAAAGGTCAGTCGAAGTCCGTGTGAGTATTTGTCCCATTTTCACATTTTGAAAGGTTGCCTGTCAGAAATCACCTGCTGGCCTAATGTCTGGGGTGTAGCTGTGCTGGTATGTTGGAGAATACCTTTTGTAGAAGAAGGTGTAAAGTGAGACATACCTGCGGTGATGTTCTCTTGCTTTGGGCAAATTCCTTTCGTGGGTGTCAACAGTCTCTCGTCCTCCTCCTCGGGCGTCACCTGGATCCCGATTTCGACTGGTTCTACCACTTTCCTGAGCTCAGAGCGCGGCGGCGACGGGCTGCCTCTGTCCATGCTTTTCTCATAACACCCTGGCCCGGTAATCAGCCCATTACACTGCTTCTTTTTGTGCTCAATAAAAACCAAGATTTCCCCAAGAGGGAAATTCATCTGGCACTGTCCACAGGTCAGGAGGTCGTGGTCCCCCAACCCTCCAGTGGGGCCCACACCACTGGGGTCCATAGGAGTGTGAGCTTCGGTGCTGGCAATTCCTGCTTCCACATGGTCAGTTTCGGCTGCCGGGAAGAAAAAGGATAACAGATAAACACACTGGATCAGATTCCCACGGCCTACAGAGAAGGGCACCATGTTGGAGTTTCCCATTCCTAAAAACCGCTGACAATAACAATCTGGACAGTCCCAACATAGACAGCAGCAGATACACTGGAGCCATCTGAGTACGTTGTTTGGGGGTACTATTGAAGCATCCCACACAATGATAGACTTGCTCACGTATGTGGAAGCGGGCCCTCCTGGTTGTTGGAGGCGTTCTCTCTGATTCCTTCCCACCCAGGTGTACCAGTAGGGGGCAGCACAGTAAAAGGCTGAGGAACACAGCACTTCTGTACCTCTTTACCGGTTTTTCTGTTCCTATTCTAAGACACCCCTAATGGTGACAGCAGTGTTGTGTAATAGCAGAGGTCGTGCGCGTCAGTTACGTCACACCCCAGGCCCACCATGGTCAGCATGCGCAAAAACACGCCCTCTCTGAGAACAAGTGCTGAAGCCAGCATTATTAAGCCGCAGCACCAGTGACTTCTGCGGGTGAGACAAATTGCACAAGAGCCAGGAGCAGCTTCAGAAATGTACTTGTGCAGCCACGAAGCATGAAATTTTGCAGATCTTTGTGATGATTTTGTCACGCAGATAAACACTCAAAACGGACACAGTGGCAACCACAGACCACGTGACTCCTCAACACCGCCAAAGACAGCAAGAGCTTGTTCAATACTTTGCTCCAGTCTCCATTTTGTATTCCATGAGAGAAATTCAACTTTTTAATTTAAGTACCTAAGTACCAGCCCCTGCAGAACAAGCCCAGCGATATTCTACAGAGGAGGTTTCACCTCGGCTCCACTGCGCCACCACTTTTACAGATCTGCTCAGAACTGCAAGATGGCACCCTCTGAGGGAAGACCAAGCCTCACCTCACACACCGGACTGTAGGTCCGACCAAATTCCACCCTCAACGGTCAACAGATTTTAAAGTAACTGTAGTAAATCCTGTAAGAACAACTGAGGATTAAGGACATTCATGTAAGGTCTGAGACTCATAAGCCATTAATATACCTGTGAGGCCATGAAAGCAGCATTCCCTTTCTCAGTACTTTTTCTGCAGATACCCACAGGGCTGGTGGGCCTATAGTAACAGCTGTGTCACAGCTATAGACAAACTGTGTCAAAATGTAGGGTGCCGAGTATAAGAACATTAGAAAGTTTACAAATAACAGGGCACCATTCAGGCCCTCTAGCCTGTTTGACATCCAGCAGGCCGAACATGGCTTTCAGCCTCTTGTGCACGTCAGTGATATGCAGCTGTATAAAAGCCTGTAACCAGTGTGTCTTGTGCTCATCGCCCCCAATACAACCAAAATGCTCATTTCAGAGAACCTGCAGCTCTCTGCTTTGGTGAACATCACTCAAGAGCTATACATTAAAAATATTTTCGACACTTGGTGCTGCTCTAGCACGGATCATCCTTTTGCTATGTACTGTGAGACATTGCTCCGAAGCTCCGTGTGTACAGAGGATTTAGAAGAACTGTCATTAAATAAGAAAACACTAGACATTTATCCGGGGGTCTGATTCATCTCAACAACACCTCTCGCCATTTCTAATTTATTAGCAAATTTTGTAAATTCCATTTTTTAACGTTAATGTATTATAGGTAAAAACTCAACAGAACTAGGATTCTAATTTTTAATTTTATGCCCACTTAATGAAGAGGTTTTTTTTCATATTGAGAGGGTGGTAAGGAGACAGTTCCCCCTCTTCATCACTTCATGAAATGTCTCCGGCGTATCTCAAGTACAGATTTATTAGGGTGAAAGAGCCAAAAAAAGAGGTTCAGCGTAGTGGCGCCAAAATGTTAATCTTGTTTGAGTGAAAAAAAAAAACTTTCACAGTCTTGAATTTAAACACACATAATTCTAATAAATTTCCAAAGGTGTTCAGGTTTTCTTCTGAAATTAAATGCATAACTTTTACCACACAGAGCACAGGAAGCAAACTAGGCTACAAACTATCAAACGTCTAATATTCTTCAAAGAAATAATTTAGCATTAAAACTCAGAAGAGACCCCAGACACATTTACAATGGCCTACTTAACTATTCACATCCGGTTTCCAATGACATTGAAAAAGGGCTGGGTTATAAAGGGCTACAAAAACCTAAGCAAATATATCAATGATTATAATGTATATGTCTTTTTTCTGCGACAAAATCTGCATATTCCCTTTCTCCAAGCACACGAACCCCAACAGCTTCTAATCATACAGCCTAGCACACTCCTCGTGATACACCACTGATAACAATGCAGTCACCTAGGCAACATTATGGCTCATCATTTCTTTGATCCTTCGACAAATACTTCCTATAATTCTATCAGTGCAAAGAAATGTCAAGTCTTATTTGTCTTTACTTCTCCTTTCACAGCAGAAAAAAGAATATATATACTGTACAACCTATTCTCTTCTACCCTGTTTAACCTAGTAGATACTCATTTGAGACTCTTTTAAGAACCTTTTTAACCCAATAATGTTTATATTTCTGTCACATGTATGATTGACGGATTTTACTGTTGATGTCCGCTTTACAAAACACTGCCAATTTAAGTTCATTTATGAAGATATTCTACTCAGTACTCAAAACTTTGGTCCACTTTACCTAATAAGGAGAGATGACTCAATGCACACTTCAGTACAGTTTCCATTGCTGTAATGAAGAATAAGAGCAAAGCAAATTATTTAACCAGAAAAGACCCACTATTCTCAGCATGCATGTATAAATGTATTCAAACTGTTGTATTGTGTTTGTCTGCTAATATAACAAAATAATCGGTGAAGTATCCTTCTCTACAACAGAGCTGCTTAATCTTATGTTCGTTATTGTTTTTAACATACTATGTCTGAGCAGCCATCCTTTGTGCAAACACTGACCGCCAGAGTGGTCAGTCAAGTGGACGACAGGAAAGGCTCCACAAATAGTTTAGCAGTGTCCCTCAAGACCCGCAATGGAAAACATGATGTTTTGTTTACTTTTTTAACTAAGATGGTGTTTTAAGGTCATTAAAACATGGAACTTTCCAGAAAGATAAAGTTAATTTATACGCAATACATAGCTTCCTGCCATACCTCAACACTTAAACTCTTCTGAGCCCGAACACCACAAACTGTGGTGTTAACCTCAGGCTAACTAGGATACATTGCCAGGCTTTAAACTTTCTGTTTATGTTTGGAGGATTTTTTAACTTTGCGAAGCTCTTCTGTCCAGACTTACAAATTGACAGCGCAGCAGGTTAAGGGCACTTTGAGGGGTGAAGACTCTAAGGTAAACTGTAACACTTAAACCTGTCAAAAGGGTCTAGTCTCGTACTACCAGCTCAAAGTTTACTTCCTATTTTTTCTTCATTTTCTTTTAATCCCCAAAAGTCCCCTATCAATTTAATAGATCCACTGTTTGCTCTTCAGTGGCTCACTGCAGGGAGAGGGGCAGTGCAAATAGCTGCAGGCTGCCCTGTAACCAATGCATGCCACTGCCCACTCGAGATTGGCAGCCCGATCCACAGCTCGCTGCAAAGGATCTTCATTTATTTCCCAGTCCCCCACTGTCACCCCAGGGCAAATACGAACCCCATCAGTGATGAAAGTGACCCCCTGCTCCACAGAATCAAGATCTGGAAATTCACGGCGTCTCTGAGCTGAATTTGGAATTCGGCCTGACAGATTGCATTTCAACAACCTCCTCGTTCAGACAGTCAACAAACAAATGAACCACTGTAATGAGGCTCCGTGCCTCCCCATACAGGAATTCACTTTATCCACTCTCCAAATGACAATGAATATTGATTACAACAGCCTGCACAAACACCAGCGCTTAACCCTTCTCCCAAAATGTCTTATGTTCTTAAACCAGCATGCACAAACAGAGCTGTTCGTGTACAATTAACTGCTGGATTTGTGAGTATAATTTTTCAACTTTGCAAAAACTGCTAGACATTTGCTGTAATTCAGGCCGTACGAACAACATGCAAACTCAGGCTTGCAATGATTCGCTAAAATGGTACGTTAAACAATTCCTTTGTGTTTGTTTTGATGTTGTACTGTACATAGTTGGTTGTAACCTGGTAAAGGACGTACAGTAATAACATAATAAAAGGTACGGTACTGATTGCAGATAATAGTTTTAAGTTTAATTTTAAGTAATAGGTTACAGAGCCAGTAAATGGAGATAAAGAAATTAAGATGGTTTTGACTGCAGTCATGCAGATAAAACAGTAATGCATTGTGATGCATTGTGAAGGTTACCGAGTAGACTATGGAACAAGCAATAGTACGACTATGTGACCCTTAATGCACATACGATCAAAAAATGTAACGTGTGGAAATCAGCTGCTAACAGGGGAAAATCACTGATCAGTGTGCAGTGAAGTACAGAAATTCTAACACCAACTTCCACCGTGAGCCTGGTGTACTGTAATTAAAAAAGGGAGAAATTAGTCTTCTCACAGGTAAAATGAGATTAACATGGAGAACTCCACTGGGATGAAGCATAAAGTGCTGCTAACCCTCTATCAGAAAATCTCATCAGGGAAACATTAGCTAATATTTTCATTTAGAAAGGAAGGGGTATACAGTAGGCTCTCCTACCTCCCCTTCATTCTGTGTAAATGCAGTTGTGTCGCACTGTGCAGTTATGTATTTCTTTATAGTCAAAACATGCCGATAAAAGAAATTTCCATAATGCTTAATGACAGAAGTGATGCAAGTCTATTTTCAAATCTCTAGTAACATGTAGGCTATGTATATGTGCATATATGTTTGTGAGTGTGTGTGTATATTAATATATATGATATGCGGGTGACCGAGTGTGCAGGAGTGTCTGTGCATAGAAATATATACAGACAGAAAGAAGTAGAAACCATTAAACACTGCAGTAGCAATAGGAGGATATTACTGTCCGTGGACAAATTGTAAAGCTATAAATGTTCATGCTTATTCTTTCTTCTACAGTGTG